TGGCCCCTGTGCGCCCGGGCCGGCGGCGCCCCCCGCCGCTCGGGGAGGCCCCGCCTCGCCGGGGAGCGGGGCGGAGGGCAGGGGGGGCCCGGTCCCGGGCGCCCCGCCCGCACCCACGCCTCCCCCCGCGCCTGGGGACCCAGGAGTGGTTCAGGCCTTAGTGGGCATCAAAGAATCCGTGCGAAAACTTGAGAGAAAAAAAAAAAAGCACACCAAAAATCCCGTGTTCCAGCAGTTATACTGCTCACAGAATTCCTACGGGTTCTGATAAAGCATAAGTGCAAACACCTAGTTTGGCAGGGGATTTGTTTTGACATTTCAGAGGCCTAAGCAACAAGTTTACGTTAGGTTAAGACTTGCTTTCCGCTTGATTTCAGGAAACAGTTAGGAAACTCACGGGGATAAATTGCATAAAGCAACAAAAATGAAAAAAGTTCCATTGATGCTGAAAAAAGATTATCTTAGTCTGTAGTGTTGTGCAGTATCAGTCAAGACTTATAGTTCTGGAAAGTAGCAGATGGTGCAAAAAAATTAACTAGGAAATTAGCTAATAGCAAGAGCTTTGTCTCCTTTTTTTCAGAAGGTTGTCATCTCTTAGTGTAGCAAAGGTTGAAGAAAAAAGACAATTTTGAATACTGAATTCTCTGTTCCTTTACTCTATTTTCAGAGCAAGCAAAAGGCATTCTGGACAGCAGAAACTCCATTCAGTCCTTAGAGCTGGACAAGCTCAACTTACAGCTAGTTTGGAAATTCTGGTCTTTTAAAGGCAGATCTTTTAAAATGTTGCAACAATAAACTCTGTATGTGTAACAAAATAAGTACAGAGAATAATACATCTAGAGGTATTCCAGTCTCTCAGTCTGCCTCATAAGCACAGGTACCCATAAGTAAATGCCCAGGCAACCAAAATATATTTTTTAATAAATACATGTTGCCTTTTTTTTGATAAGAAGGTGGGTAGTTAATGTAATGAATGGTCATTTTGCTCAGAAAACCTCAAACCTGAACAGAGCTGTTTCTTGACTTCAACTTTACTTCGAAAAGGACTTAAATTATCTTGGCTGAGATTTACACCTACTCTATTTATAGCTACTCTATTTCTCAACAACAAAAAAAGAAATAGGTCCTGTTTGATTTTAGGACAGTTGACTAGGTTATTGCCTGCTTTGGTAACATAGTGTAATTTAGAGTGGTGTTAGAAAGCATCCCTCTCTCTAAGTTCTCGGTTACCTTCCTCGGAGAAGTTGTCACCTTTGAAAATACAGGCTCTTATTTTGCATTGAAATGTATGCAATCTTCTGTTTGCATGAGGCTGTTTCGCCAGTCTGTAGTTGCAATGACAAAATGATTTGCTGATTTGCTTTTTGACTCTGAGTTAAGGTTCAATCTAATAGTTGTGGTTTGAGCTGGGGCAAAAGTGAGGGATGTTCCCAAATGAGTGCTGACAAAGCTCAGGTTTGTTTTCTTTTGGTTTGTTTTTGTTTTGGTTTGTTTCTGGTTTTGTCTGTTGGCTTTTGTAAGTGACATTAATGGCCCTCTTGCCTGATATTTCGGCAACTAAGTTTTTGCTAACAGAACTAATACACATTTTCAGGGAGGAAACAGAAAAATACTGACTCAAGGTAACTGTCAAGTATGTTGACAATATTAAGAAAGCACCCTTTACCCTAAAGAGTAAAGGATAAAAACTCTTCAAGAAGAAGCAAAAAAACCTTTCTATTTGACTTCCAGTGATGAACAGGTTGAGTTTTGAGGGTTCTGTTGAGCTTTGTAGTTGTAGAAACTGAAAAGTATTTTACCCTGACCCGTGAGGAACTTCGGTCTCCTAAGTTCTTTGGACTTTAAGATGAAGAACCTTTCAGTAACAGTTTCACACATGTATCTTACATGTGATTATCTTTTAGATGTCAATAAGCGCCATATTGGCTATTGAATAGACTGCATCCAGAACTATTTGGCTGAAATCATTAGCACACTTTAACGTGTTTGGTTTTTTTTTTTTCCCCCAGCTTTCAGGTAAAGTTTATTCAAGGCAACAATGGAACGATTTGGAGTGAAGTCCGCTCCATCACGTAACCGCTCGAAGACTGCTTTGTATGTGACTCCTCAGGACCGTGTAACCGAGTTTGGCAGCGAGCTGCACGAAGATGGAGGAAAACTCTTCTGTACTTCCTGCAATGTGGTTCTGAATCACGTTCGCAAGTCTGCCATCAACGACCACCTCAAGTCTAAAACACACACAAAGCGAAAGGCAGAGTTTGAAGAACAGAACGTCAGGAAGAAGCAAAGGACTCTGACTGCCTCCCTTCAGTGCAACAGTACTGCCCAGACAGAGAAAACCAGCGTCATCCAGGACTTTGTGAAAATGTGCCTGGAAGCTAATATTCCACTTGAGAAGGCTGATCATCCATCTGTGCGAGCCTTCCTGTCCCGTTACGTCAAGAACGGCAGTTCGATACCTAAGTCAGACCAGCTAAGGAAAGCATACCTGCCTGATGGGTATGACAATGAGAACCAACTCATCAATACTGAAGACCGTTGAGAAGAAAACTGTTTTCATCATCGTTGTGAAGTTTTACATATTGATGGTGTGGTTTATTTTTATATTCATGCATATATACAGTGTTACATATTGGTTTTACAAGCTATTTTGTATTATTGTAGAAATGACAATCTATTTGTGAACTTAGTGGTATGCCACAGACTGTTGCTAACCCTGCCGTAGACGTCAGAGCTACATTGATGTAGAACTCATGATGAATGTAGGGAACGTACCTGGCATACACCTTATCTATGTTCAGTCCAGCTGTAACTGACGCTAAGAAAAAGGCACTTGGATGGCGGACCTCGCTTACCCAAACTGTGCATCTAAATACACAAGGAAGATGATGCGATAGGGATTGTTAATCATGTCAGTGGATTGCTTTGTCCAGTATCCTGTCCACGAGTGACCAAGAAGAAGTGCTGCACATTTGAAATGCAAGAAGCTGTAGAATGGCTAGTTAAACATAACTGCTCTGTTGCGGGAGGATTATTGCAAATTCCTATTCAAGTTCAGTTTATGTTCTAAAACAGGAAAAATTTTTCTTCTAGAATACTCTCTTCTCCTCTTTGGTGCAACTGTGGATGTATTCATTATCTAGCTTAAATAGCCAGTCTCTTGTATTGACGTCACCTCCACTATTCTCATAAAGCTAGGAGTTCTGCAGGTTTACCATGCCTGCTTTTTTAAAATCACTGGTTTCATTGTCTTGGTTTAACATGTCCCCTTCGGTTTCAGTGCCAATCTTTGAAAGTCGAGTAGACAAACCAGTAACTGAGTGTGGTTTGCAGTGCAGCTGCTGGCAAGTGAAACTTATACTGGACCAAGATCTTAGCAGGGAGGATTAATGCCTTTTTCTTACTAGCAGGACAAAGGATGCTAAATCTAAATTCAGGGTGGGGGAGGCACTAAATTGTGGAGTTGAGAAAGCTTTTTTTGCAGTGCACAGGAGAAGAGGCTCCTCCAGCTTTCGCTGAAGGTCCTCTGCATCTCTGGCCTTGCCCCTCAGCCTTTTAGTCAAAGGAGGTAAAGTGATTAAAATAGTTTTCACAATAGTTACTGCAAAAGCCGTTCAATACCTGTAAGCGCAAACACGAAAGCATGTATACTTTGAAGCTATACTGGAATTACAGACCTGGGCTGTATTTCTTACTCTGTGCCAAGGCCACATCTGTTGGACTGGCAAAAAGTAAAATGGGAAATTGAAGCATTTCAATACTGTTACCCTCTCCGAAATCTAGTAAGCTATTACTGAGCTATTCCAAATTATTATGCCAAATAGTCCACTCGATGCAAATGCTCTATAAAGTGCTTGAATGGAATGAGGGAGCATTGTGCTAAGTGCTGGAATACGACCAACTTCTGCCTGCTCTAGATTTCCTTGAGATGCTCTGGGTTCAGGCAGGAGCCGAGCATCTCCTAGCAGCACAGAAATCCTCCACTCAGTGGATACAATGGTGTCAGCATCTTTAACTCCCTCAGGTGGAGCCAGTTGTTCCCTTCAGCTTCCTTTCCCCAGTAGAGTTTCACAGTATCTGTTTCTCAGTATTTCTTTTACTCCAGATATTTACAGCAATACTAAGTAATTGCTAAAAAGAGACAAAAATAACCTGCTTATTTTGTTTCTGTAGCTATTTCCCTAGCTATTTCTAGAGCAGTCTCTTTTGCTGGACTGAGAGAGACTTACATACTTAGTAACAACTGTTTTTTGTGCAGTTAGCTTCTACAGAAATGCACTTACGTTACATTATAACCATGTCTGCTATGAGACCTGTTTAAATGGACAGAACTAAAAAGCAGAAGGGTGCCTATCCATGTCTACCAGGACACAGGTACTCGGTACACTGCTGCACCTTTGGTCCCTGTTGAAGCTAGCAGGAATCCATGCAGTCATAGCAATCCTGTCAGTGATACTGGTTGCTGGTTTAGAACTTCAGACAGAAATAACAGTAGTAATTTTTTTCTCTAATCCTAGATATCAAAATATGCCTTCCAAAATATCGTTTGCTATTGCACAAGCTTATGTTTAGCTTGAGATCATGAACTGCCTTGGGCTAGAACTGTTTTATAAATCTTCTTAAGCCAAGTGAAAGGTACACTGCCAATAGCCTTTTCTGTCCTGACAATAATTGAAAATGTTCTTTTACAGCTGCTGTTTCATTACAGTAAAACAACATCCTTGCTTTAATTTTTTTTTTCTACCTTATGAATGCTATCTTAGAATTGAAGCAAATAGAAAACAATGAAGTATTGAGAAAACAGGCTTCCATTAAATAAAAGCATATCAAGAAGGTGGTATGATTAAAAGGTATGAATTTGGGCTAGTTAGCTCAGTTCTTGCTAACATGGGATTTCACAGGCTGCACCCCATAACCCTTTTATATAGGATTCAATGCTGTATGTTTTTTCCCTTGACTGGCGAACTGATAGACATTTTGAAAAGCTTAATGGTAACGTTAAATAGGCTCTTGCACAACTGAAAAAAATGGAATTATTTTCACTTACACAGGTTTACATAAAAATAAAAGTTAGCAACATCAACAGCTTTTGTTAAAAAAAGAAAACCAGTCATTTTCAATAAGGCAAAGCAACATTACAACACGTAGTTTCTCAAAAGCTTACTCAAAGCAGTCTGTGTACAGAGCCTCAATTTATAGAATTAATAAAATTCTGTATTTTCAGTAATTATTCTAGTACCAATTTACTTTTTATGCAGAATTACTGCAGAGGGTATGAGCCTGATGAGGAACCTTATCCATGTAGCCATAGGATACCAACTTATAATGATTTGTAAGCAAAAATTTGTCTTCAGAATTTTGAATGGAACTGACTTAATTCCAATGCACAGCAGTTTGTAGGACACTGGTGTCTTAATAATAGGATATTTTTGTTAAAAAAAAAAAAAAGCCACAACATTTTTCAAGCTTTTTGAAAATCAAAATGCCGATCCATTGCAACAAACATGCATAATGGAGTAAAACAGTGAAAACTAAAGCACTTCCAGGTAATCTAGAAAGAGCAATGAATAAGTTTATATTCATGGACATAACCCAGATCATCCACGAGACAGTTAAACTTATTTTCTTTAAAAGTAAAAATGGTTCCACTCAGTCTTGGAACGGAGTCCTGCAAACACTCAAGTTCAGAGCAAAATTTTGCCAGTGTGGCTATAGTTGGATAAAGCATAACCTTAGTTTAATTGCCATTGATCTTAGGGAAGATTTACAGCAGAAGTTTTCTGGTGTATCTAAACCTAAGTAATAACGGATTCCTAGAACAGAGGCTGTGGTTAAGTTGTTTAACAGTCTCCATGGGGTTTTCCTTTTTTCTGCAAGAACACTGCATTATTTTTCCATGTATTTCCTGTAAAGAGTACTCTCAGAAGTAAAGAGAGGATGGTAGCAACGTCTGCTTTTCATTTTTCATACATATGTAGGGACAAGCTATAAGGGATACTTTTTGCCAGGTGGTTTTATTAATATATTTGAAGCTCTAAATGTAATATTAAAAAAAAAAAAAAAGAAAAAGAAGAGATATTTTCTTCTTTGACCATGTACTTATATTAGTTTAGCCAACTCACAGCTAAAGTTACCCCGAAGTACTTTTCTTGGAACAACGCTTTCAGAGAGTAAAATACAAACAGGAACATTCTCTGTTTTGTGACTACTTACATGTATGCACCACGTTAGTTTCAGCTTGCATGTTCTTGAAAAAACGTGAGCAAGTTCTAATATTTTTAAGCATTTTGAAGCCTGTAATTTGGCAGGCCCCTAGAAGAGGTGAAACATTCGACATAATGAAAGGGAAAGCTGTTTTTCAATTGAGAGAGAAACTTGGTTTTGCAAAGTATGGGATATTCTCATGATAGAAGGACTATTTTTAGCCAGAGCCCCTTTTAACAATTCTGTTGAACTCGACAGTGAAATGCTCCCTGCTAGGTTTTGCAGCATAATGGGAAAGCTGGAAGTTTGGCAAGGATAATCTCTATTTATATTTACATATAAAGAGAGGCAAAACTCACTGTTGTTGTGTTCACATTGTACTCACTGCTAACTCTTTGTGTAATTTGAGTGCTTGTTGTCTTTGTACAATTTTAAGGTTGTGTCTAACTTTCAAAATAAATTTTTTTTAACAAAGCTTCTCATTGTAATAATGCTGTTAGAGTTCAGTCTCTTTTGGGCTAGTGAAGATGCTTTATTTTTGGTTTGGTGGTAAGGGTGTTTTGCTGATGGTGAGTGGCCACAGAAATGGTGTTATTTAAACAAGCTATGATTAGATACTAGAGTGAGGCTGAAAATACCTGGGTCCTGCAGTGCCACAAGACTTCCTGTTAGAACAGTAAGACCAGAGTGAGTGAGTTAAGTTTTTATATTAAAATATTATTGGAAGAGAAATACTTTACTTTGTAAAGTGTTCACTTGGTAATGGAAAAATGGTCCTTTTTTAAAAAATAAAGGAATTCCTTTTTCATAGAATTTATGCATGATCTCTTATTTTGCCAAGAAAGTGGGTAAAGAACATGTGGTAGTTTGCTTGTAATAGTAATGTAATATGGTAGAAACGGATGGTGACAGGAAAAATTAAAAGAGTGTACATGCTGTTGTTCTAGCTTGAGGTAACATCAGACTATTTGTTGAAGCAGTTTGTTGATGTATCTGTAGAACCACGCTGAAGCCTGCTTCAGGACTGGTTATACAAAACCCCATTTCTTGTCAAGTATGTGACTTTCTTCACGGTGACGGAAATTCCCTAATGATGCCTTCTGTTGCAAGCGAACACCAAGTGAAATAATTGTTAGGCATTTTGACACTGCAGTAAAGGATTTGTAGGTATAGGATCTTGCAGCTGCCTAATGCTTCAGGTCTTTTCGGGAAGGGCTTCTGCAATGCAGAAGAATCAGGTCTTTCCAAACTATCTGCAAAACGGTCACAGTTTGATCTCTGTCTCCCTTAGGGGCTTCATGAAAACTGAGCAAATAACATCAGCCCATCAGAACTATCGAGTGTAGATCTGACTGTTTAGACGTTCCTTTTCCTGAATTCTTATCTGGCTTGACATCTCATGATGGATCAGTGATAAACTCATGCAACCTCATGAATTTATTAATCGTTACTTTCTCATTTTTAGTCATTTCCAGGTCACAGCACATTAAGAGCAAGTTGCTTTTTGTTGCCTTTACACCAAATGGAAAAGCAGAATAGAAATAAATGTACACTTTTGTAAAGTTTTCTTGTGTGACAATTCCTCTTTGAAACAGCATATGTATACTTGCAAAGTCAATGTATCAGTAAGGATTTGTGCAGAAGCTGATGCAGAATCAGGTGAAGTATATATTTAAAGTTTAGTAATTAGGCCATGCTAAATTCTTATGATGACATTTTACTTTCCTAAATAAGTGAATCATGCTGTTTAACCCATATCCAAGATGCAGTAGGATGAAGTATACATAACTGCTTTTAGGCCACATTTATACTGATAATTAGGTTTGACGTTTGTCATTTACATAGGCTGGACAGCAGAGACTGGAGGATAAACAATCTATGGCAGTTCTGCTTAAGTCAGGTAAGGATTTTTTTTTGCCCATCCCACCACTTTTCTCTTTCTGCAAGGGGTTTGGAATTTGTGGGTGTCCTGGTGATAGAGGCCACCTCTTCCATATTCAAAAGCAGACAGCACATCTCACAAGTAAAAGCACAAGGTGCGGGCTCTGAGATAGAGTACAGAGGGCTGCTGCAACTGTCACTCAAAGGGCAGCCTCGAGACCTGTGTTGCCTCTTCTATTAAGTATACCTAATAGAGTTCTATTCTATAAAATGGAAAATTAAGTATAAAACAGAAATGATAAACAATTACTGAATAGCTATTTCAGTCCCTTTGAGTTTAGCTTTGGAGTGTCCCAACTTCATCCTCACTTTACATTTCAGAAGCCAGAAACATTTGAAGATTTAGTCTTGCAAAAGAACGTCTATTTTGCTAGAAGATTTCTGGTAGGCCTGGAGGAGGACAGGTGGAAGATTATAGTTTCAGTCGGTATGCAAAGCCCGTGTTCAGCTGAGCCAAACAAGCACAAGCAATTTAAATTTATTCACGTTTTAGATCTGCCTAAGTACTTAGCTCTATGTGTCATCTTCTGTCTAGTAGTGCACAGGAAGGGGAAGTAAAAGCAGAGCACTACTTAAAGTGCAGTGAGGTGACCAGTACTCTCATATATGCTCCATGAGCACACTAAAATAAGAGTACACATTCATTAGGAAGTTTCTACTGTCTTTCAGTGGATACTTTTACTTTTTCCTCTGACCTATCTGATCCTTCTGTTCAGTAAGAACTGTTGTGTCCCTGAGGAAAATAAGGATCTTGTCCATTTTCTCCTAACCAAGAGTAGCTTACAGCAATGCAGTGGAGAGAGGGTAGCACTCAGCAGGTCTGTTCAAAGCTGGTGGGGGGGGGCAGGGGAGGGGAGGGTTGTATATTGGTTTGCCTCAAGTATTTTTTTTAATCTGTCCTTCAGTGTACAGAATAGTTCCCAAATTCAGTATTAGATTTCACTGCAGGAAATGAGACCTCCTTACCTTAATTATTCTGTAATTAGCTTTAAATTGCTTCCTCCCTCCCCTTATTTCTGAAGCCTGTCATTACCATAAGATGAATCCAATAACTAGAATACCCATGCTTACACTTAGTCTTTTATATACAGCAAAACCCTGAGAAGATGTTTAACCAACTCTGTATTGAATAAACTGACAGCCCTTGTGAGAACATCCAGGCCCATGCTCAGTCTGCACTTCAGAACCTGGTGCGAGATGTGTTGGTTGATTTAACAAAGCTTAGCTCATCTCGTTAAACTAAAATGGCTTAGGAAAAAGCAGGGAGATGCAGAGAATCTCATCTTGTGGAAAAAGGAAAGAACTTGCATAGAAATGAAGTAACTGATCCCTCCCATAACAGGGCGCTACAGTAGTAAGACATGAGAAGAGGCTGCAGGGGCCAGCCATAGCTGATGTGGCAGCACGTGCTACTGCAAGCTGCGTGATCCCTAGTGACAGGCAAGGAGCTGGATGGGAGACTAAATTATTGCTGTTCCCTGAAGATACCAAAGCTTCTTCATGTAGCGTAATGAAGGTAATTTTCAGCAGACTTACTGGAGCCCACTATGTAAATGCCGTATCTCTCTATGTGGTTGGAGGCCAATGCCTAACCACCTGCAAACAGGGAAAATGCAACCCCAAAACACAACCTTGTCTTGTCAGGAGAAAAACCGAGGTGTAACAGAAGGAACATTACATTGTTGGGTTTTTGTTTTGGTTTGGTTTTTTTTGGTTTTTTCCATTGGTGTTCAGTAAAGCAGCAGCAGACATGACAAAGTGGACTGAATCAAGTAGAGAAAGTTTCTACTAATAGCAATCATCAGGTGTTTAAGACTGTCCAAATTTTACTCCATATTTTTTGAGCCTCTTCCTGAAAATGGTATCCAATGCACACAGAACTGTGCTAATCGTTATGTTTGAATTGCATTGAGGTCTCTTAGTTCTTTAAATACTTGGTATCTCTTAGGAGTCAGCTGAAGTCTGATTTGCATATAGCAAAGAAGTTACTGAGTGACTGCAGATAGTGGAAATCAGTGCCACCTAGTGACATCTTTTTTCTGCCATCTTCAAATGATCTCTCAAATTAAATGCATATGCTCCTCCCTCTCCTAGTTATGCAGTTTTAGATTAGGATTCTCTATTCCGTTCTTTGGTAAATAGTTATTTTATATTTACCTAGAATTTACTATCCTTTCAAACATGCTTTTAAAGCAAAACTAGAGTCTCAACTTCAGGGACTCATTTTTCTCAAAAAAATGGAGTATAAGTTGCCATTTGGACATTTAAAAGATCTCATTTATAAACTTAATAACATCACAAAAGTAAAAAAGCTCCCAGGAATGTCTCAAGAAGGTAATAAAGTCTTAACAAGAAAACATGAAAAAATCAGATTCTTTGCCATCTTCCAGCAGATTCTCAAAAACACCCCACCAAAAAAACCCCACAGCCCTACTCTTAAGCAGAACAGAGATAAAGGAAATAATGAAGCGTCAGCAGTGATAGTAGAAGTCACAGTTGACAAAGCCTTTTTAAGAAAAGGGCTCCAAAATCCTAGATGAGTGTCCAAGCTATTTACTATTGAAAACACAAAGTAAAGAACTCTCACAAGCCCCATCCAGTACGTGGTCCGGGAAATCAGTGCTCCTTCCTGCCACTCCGACCCACCTCACCTCTCCCGAAAGGCTAATGTGCAACAGCACCTGTCTTGCACTTCAGAATACTTCCACAAAGTTACCGACAAGGAATTATCCACCTAGAAAGCCAATCTCAATACACCGTAGAGAACAGACAAAACCTTATCTAACTAAAAAACTTCAGTCAGTAGCAAAGGACTCAGCCCAAAACAGTTCTTCCGATAAGAATACAGAGATTAAGTACCAACCACTAATATTACATTCCTAGCATAAGCTTTGGATTACTTAACATTAACACAAGTAGAAATTACACTGCCAGGAAACGCATCCCTTAATGACCAATTTTACTAAGCAGCTATGGATTCAGCCACTAGATGTCTTCACTATACAGGAATGCAATCCACGGTACTAGTATTTTGTCTCAAGTGGAAGCATGCTGTGTGTGCAGTTATAGTCAAGGAGTTTTCTTTCATAAATATTTTCCATTTAGGCTGGATTGTAATTTTTGTAAGGATATTTCAGTGTCTCACAAACATCAGTACAATTCTCTTGATCATCACATACTTAGCCAGACACTTCCAACCATGACCTTTTGGAAAGCTGTTCAATTATTTTCTTCAAAATATTACTTTGAAAAAATCCCGACAATTTAGATTTTTGCTAGAGCACAATATGCATATATGTTGTCTAGAAAGCTTGAAATATTTAGAATAGAGTTCAGTGGGAAGCCGCCTACAACAATCAGCTAGTGCAATTGCCCAACCACAAGTTAGAGCACATTTTTAAGGGCATTGATCCAAATACCTCTTAAACACTGACAGGCTTAGGGCATTGACCACCTCTCTAGGAAGCCTGTTCCAATGTTTGACCACCCTCTCGGTAAAGAAATGTTTCCTAATGTCAAGTCTAAATCTCCCCATTTTAACATAGGCTTTCATAACTGCATTAATTTCTTCTCTGGTTTCTATTTGTGGTTGTTGTATTTGCATTATAAGCAGAAGTGATAATTGCTATATATGAAGTTCCTGTTCAACCTTAGTTTGGTTCTAACTTTATGAAGAAACTGTAGATTGACAGAATTTTTTGGGAAGGTTCAGCTAAATGGTTCAGTGTTTTAGAAATATTTAGGGGAAAAAGGTGTTAAGGACATGCTGAAAAAGAACCCACAAAATCCAAAACCAAATTACTTGGCCTTATGTTATGAGGATGCTAAGACTAAATAGTAGAAGCAATCATCTCTTATAGTGCAGATTATTGTAAATTAATCTAATGCAAATTAAGACTATTCAGACATGTGACATCTACCATCCTGTGAATAGTGGATTTGCTCAGCTTCTTAATTTGTTAATATTCAATCAGAGCAATACACAAGGACCGAACAAGTTTAAAATACTGTTGTGCATCCCTTCTCTCTGCTATATCACGGCTTGTAAAATCAAAACCTCAACTGCAGGAGCATCTTTCAAAAAAAAAAAAAAATCTGCAGCTGTGTCTGTTACACTGCAAGGGGAGCCAGAGAAGAGTGAAAGATGTTTTGCCTCGAATTACAGAGGAGTTCTGAGATGATGTGAAATGATCAAGCAGTTCACGTTTTAACCACACAAAAAAGACAACTGTGTAAGCCGTCAGATTTTTGCAGATATATTGCTTCCCCTCCCCTTTCTGCACTGTCTTAACAGAACTAGAAAAGGGAACCGGCTCAGACATTTACCCAGGTAAACCTAACAGGATGCAAGAGGCCATCTGAACTGCACTTTTTAAATCCGCGGGAACGTCTTCCCTCCACAATGCCCAGAGAATGAAGGCTCCTCCAGTCATGTTGATAAAAAGGATCTTACTGTACATCCTCCTAGTAACGCTGGCTCAGAGCAACTATCAAATTTACGGTAAGATGCGGTCTTATAATTTAACCTGTCTGTAGTTATTAAACATTGCGGGGGGAGAACAGAAAGAAAAGCAGTGCTTAGTGTACCTTGGATATAATCTGTGACTTATTTTATTACCATATCAGAGACTTCGAATTCAATTAAAGACAATGATGATGACAATAATTGAGAAATAGTAGGTAACAGTCTAGGCCAGAACCCTAGCACTTTGGGACAAAATACAACTTGCTTTGTGGCCAAAGACTCTGCCTTCAAGGGGTTTGGCAGCATTCAAGCCTCTGCTTGAAATCCAGGAATCCTAATAGCTCTGAACTGGATCCAGTAAATTGTCCTTACCAGATATGTAAGTGTACCCTCAATTATTTAGCTTAACTCAATCTAATTTTCATCCCGCTTTCAACTTTGAACCTCCATAGTTTTTAACTGGAGATGTTCTCCTACGCTCTGCCCAGTATATTCCTAATATTTTTACTAGAGATTGTTTTGTTTCAAGTTCTTCCCTGCTAATATCATATAGGAGACATAAATTTTAGTATTGAAAGGAAGGCACTCCTACAGAAAGGATAATAGCTACTGTAATGGATGCACTCAGCTGCTGTTGATACATTTCTGATAAATTGATCAAAATACCATTTGTTATAAGGCACTGCTAAAATTACACGAACAAATTGGCTGTGTGAAGCTTAGTTGACATGTGTGACTAACTCTGCAAATATATAGCATCTTTTGACACTCCTTGTTTTTATGAATAAAACACATTATTAATACTAATAGGAAAGGTTAAACAAGCATTCAGAGCATCTGCCTGGGAAGGGAAACTCAAACATTTAGCTTAAAATATATGAATTACCAGGTCAGTTAGATGCAGCTGTTTCTTAATCAGGGTGTGAGCTGAGCTCGGGGAGGCTACTGAACTGCTTTACATTCGATTTTCAAATGAATAAGCTAACATGCTTCTGAAAGGGGTGTATCTAGAGCTGACAGCCTCCATCATACCCTAAACGGAAGTATCTTCTTTTCTGGTAAGAGTTAACTACTGTTTCTGTTCACTTCATTAAGTCTGCCTGTGTTTTTAGTTCCTCATGCAATCACCTCTCTGCATTGTCCTGTATAGTTCACTAGTACACGGGCGAACCCTCCATACTCATCTGCCAGATTCCTAGATACTGTTTTTATACCAGAATGTAATTTCTGTTATGCTGCATATAGCATGTATCTTGTTTACACAGAATTTATTTTACTAGGGTTTATTTTTTGTTCTACATCAAAACTACTTGGGGTCCTCTGAGAACAATACTATTTCCTTCTATACACCTATATTACTACAAATATCAGAACCATGTTTATAGAAGCATTACAGAGAGGAAAGTTTTGCAAGTCAGCCTCTACAGAACCATGATGTAATTTTTTTTTTTTTTTAATGTATTTACATTTTAGCCATAAATTTTCCAGGCTTGTTTGGTTTTTATTTTGTTTTGACGTAAGTTGAAGATTGAAGCCGACTTATTTAAGCTTTGTACATTGCAAATGTATCCAAAGTTTCCCTTACTCCTATCAGAAACAAAGTTGACCACTCAGATTTCATATACAAAGTCAATAACCAGCAAATCTTTTCTAAATTAGGGAAGAAGTCAGCTTGTTTCTGATAAGTCACAAGCAGCAGGCCCTTCTCTCCCCTCACCCCGGTAATTTTAGTCCACTTTGGCCCTGTCTCCTTTGTAACACCAAAGAACAGATCATTCCCATCCAGTCTCAGAGTGGTTGTTGCTATCTGGACAGCATTACACAAAGTAAATGAAGCGTTTCATCCCAACGAAAATAAAACCCAGCAAACCTCCCCTCGCTCCAAGAATCTCCAGCCAGTAACTAGGTACGTGCACACATGCCCACTAAACGTGGGCACAGTTCTTGGCTCAAGTAACACCTTGCTGTTAGACCTTCTTGTGGGATAGCCTGCACATGCTAGCATTCAGCTAAACAGAAATGTTCCATCTTCAAGTTTCAGTCATCAAAATATAAAGGCATCTTTTCTGCACTTACACAGCTTTCATCAAGGAATAGTTAAAAAATGATGCAACTCTCCGTCAGCTACCTCAGCGAGCAGGTCAGCTTTACAAATACTACCATTGCTGGGAAACAAAACCAGAAAAACAACAAGACACCCAGAAAATCCTTCATTGTACACCAAGTAAATAGAAAAAGTAGGTTACTGTATCTTTAAGATGACATGGGAAAAATTAAGTGAAAAGGACTAAAACTAAATTTCTATTAGCAAAATGACATTCTTCAAAAAATCCAAATTGTGATATAATGATGTAAAAGGACTAAAATAAAATTTTACATCATTCTTTGAAAAGCCTTCTCTGAAGCTGTGGGAAGTCTGAAAAAGGCTTATCCATGTATCACTTAATATGTCTTCTGAAGTACTTCTCTTTCTAAATACACCTTACCTAAATTCAAGGAGGGAGCATATTTTTCCATGAGCACCCCTCACAGCCTGTTTCCTTTTTTGTTGTTAAAATTAACAAAGCCATGAAGATCTCAGTGTTAAATGTGAAACCCCAACAAACCAACGCGCTTTCTGGTGTAGTTTTTGTGCTATGGCCCTAATCAGAAACTTCCCAGAACACAGGGCCCGAGTTAAAACCGTTCTAGTGCTTCGCTGTGTTCACAGACAGACCCAAATGTAGGATTCAACACTAAGTGTAGACATTCATTTTTCATGAATAATTGACAGTTTATACCTCAGCCATTATCTGCCTCAGGGAATGATACCTGTGGCTTGTATTCTATCCTACCCCTTGTTCCTTTTTTTTTTTTTTTTTTCTTTTAAAGAGAGGAGAGAGTGAAAAAACAAAATAAAGATAAATCCTTTTGAAAACAAATGCTTCAGAAATGTCAATTAATAAGTCTTAGTTTACTGGAATTGTTCTGAGTTCTTAGATGATCAGGTGTGAATGACACCATTTATAATTCAAAGATTAGAAGGCTCAATTTTTAGCTATTATTTTTATACCAATGGATTGAGTTAGGTAAATGGAAAGCTATTTCCACTAAACCTCTTTTGTTTGCTTAATGAGTCATGTCATGACTATGTTTTCTAGAACACAAGAATGAGGAAAAAAATTAAAATTGTTTTTATAAACGAAAGCACTGCCATGGGTATTTCCCTATTGTACAAGTTATGGAATACGTGCTTTCATTTGAAATCCTTATCCTGGCAGTACACTGTACAGAAGATTTTCCTTACCTGTGCAAATCAGTTCTCGGTGCAATAGAGCCTGGCTCGCCGCAGCTTGTTCAGGAACACACTCAAGTGATCTAAAAGAAAACATGCTTTTAGTCAATCTGAATCTTACCGAGAAGTGTAAGTTTGAAGCTGGTATATAAAGCTTCCGTACGTTACATATTCTTGTACCCTCTTGAAAACTGCACATTCAGATGTTCATCATGACGACCCATGCATGTGACATTGAAAACAAGACTCAGTATAAGACCGTGTAACTGGTTTCAGGTCTCAGCTCATAGCAGTATTAAAGAAAGAGTAATTAAATTTATGTTGGAAAGCACTTGCACACATACAGTATATTTGGCAGACAATATCTGTACCATTGACTTCTCGTAAGCCACAGGAGGTAGCAGATAGAAAGAAGTGAAGCTACACTATCAGAGGAAAAGTACACCAAGCCATGTTTGTGCTAGTTCATTAATTGAAGTTTATTTTGTGGTTGGCTTTGTAATGACAACCAATGAACAGGAAAAGTTCTCTCTCATTATCAGGTGCGTTGATTTTTTCTCCCTGTTAAAAAAAAAAAAAAGATATCCCTCATTCTCTAAGCTATTATGGTGTATATTGTTATTTAATCCCAAATCTTCACTGACACCTATTCCTGCCAAATGGCCTTTACAGGAAATCTGTGAAAGATATTTTAAAAGTTTGCCTTAAATATTTTATTCTATATAAAAAAGTTCCCAAATCTTTTTGTTTTTAAAAGGATTTTCTCTACTGCTTTTTATCCACTTAAAGTTTCTTGCCAAGTAAGGTGTGATTTGGGAAAGAGGAAAGGTTAATTAGAAATTTCAGGGCATGTTCATTATGAAATCCCACACTTAATTACTAGAGGAAAAAAAAAGGCTGGATTATAGGAAAAAGCTTTATCTAGCTCAGATTTTTAGTTATTGAAGTTCAAAAACATTCAAACTAAGAATTTCCCAAAGCCTGAGAAAAATGTTTAACTCCTATTCACTCACTTCTTCTGATGATATTGTTCTAGAAGGTCCCCAAATTGATGACTAATAACATTTACCAAGGACTAGATTTCTCCCTACCAAAAATTTGAAAACCTTGTCCTGGTTTCAGCTGGGACAGAGTTAATTTTCTTCTTAGTAGCTGGTCTAGTGCTGTGTTTTGAATTCAGGATGAGAATAGTGTTAATAACACCCTGATGTTTCAGTTGTTGCTAAGTACTGCTTACACGAGTCAGGGACTTTTCAGCTTCCCCTGCTCTGCCAGGTGCACAAGAAGCTGGGAGGGGGCACAGCCAGGACAGCTGGCCCAGACTGGCCAAAGGGCTATTCCAGACCATATGGCATCATGCCCAGTGTATAAACTGGGGGGAGCTGGCTGGAGGGCCAGCTATCACTGCCTGGGGACTGGCTGGCCATCAGTTGGGAAGCAGTTGCATCACTTGTTTTTTCCTGGGTTTCGTTCCTCTCTTTGTTGTTGTTGTTTTCTTTTTCATTACAATTTATTATTAATTTAAACTGTCCTTATCTCAAACCGTGAGTTTTGTTACTTTTTGCCCTTCCGATTCTCTCCCCCATCCCACCAGGGCAGGGGGAGGGTGACCGAGTGACTGGGTGGTGCTCAGATGCCGACTGGGGTTAAACCACAACAAACCTAAAGCCCAAGTCATTTAGCTGTCAGTCATTAACAAGTCACAGAAACATACAAAAGCAATTGTGATTACATTTCATGCTCCAAGCATTATTTCATAACA